TGTGTGTGTGTGTGTCTGTGTGTGTGTCTGTGTGTGTGTCTGTGTGTGTGTGTGTGTGTGTGTGTGTGTGTCTGTGTGTGTTTGTGTGTGTGTAGGGGGGGTTTTCATACCACTGGCTTGCCTCATCTTTGATCAAAGGAATTGCTTACATCACTGCGTCTCCATGGAAACGAGCCAACAGGTGCGCCCGGCCCGTTTGGCTCCGCCCCCTTACGCCCAAAACGACCCAATCAGGGCACAAATCAGCAACAAATAGCCTCTATTACTCAAAGTCTTTGATGTTTTCCGACAAGCCTTTGATGTCGAAGTCGTCTCTGATTTTAATTTGTCATTTGGGGGATTTTTGGGGTGATTCTAGATTCTGGTTCGGGGTCTCTGGGGTCAGTTTGAGTGTCTCTGGACAGGTTTGGCCTCTTTGAAGTCGAACTTTGAGCGAGTTTTGTCCCGATATTCAGCGTTTGTTGTCGGTCAGTCGAAGGTGGCTGGACTTCGTCTTCTTCTTCTTCTTGGATCTTTCAGATATTTCTGCTCCCATCCAAAAGGTTTCTTCAATTTATGAGAGATGAAACGCCTTCAGAATCCAAGAAGAAGCTAGTTAGTTACTAGTTAGAAAAGTTAGCCCGCAAATAAAATTAAATAAAAACTTGAATCTGAAAAATAGATCAGAACTTTAATTTTTCAGGTTTATATTTTTTTTAAAACTTGTATTTTTCAGGGTTTAATTATTTTTTTTTCTAACTAACTTTTATTCTTTAGGTGAAAATTTCTTTTTTTTCCAACAAATTTTTTTTTCATGTTCAAAATTGGTCTTTGGGTTGAAAAAAATTTTCGGGTTCAAATGATTTTTTTACCAATAAACTTTTATTTTTTCGGTTCAAATTTTTTTTAGGGGGGTTCAAATTATTTTTTTTCACGAACATACGTTATGGCCCATATTTACCTCCATAGCTTGTCCTCTTTGAAGACTTTATTATTCAGCATCTTCTTTTCATTTGTAGTTTGGTGTTTCATGGACATTTTGTGGGTCTTTGTTGCTGTTTACTCTGGTTTCTCTTGATGTGAACGGTCGGTTTTTTTGTCTTTTTGTGGCCGTTTGGGGTCTCACGCATTCCTCACAGTTTAGGGAGACTGCAGCAGACTTGGCTGAGCTTCTAAAGAACGACTTTAAACATTTCTGCCTCAGTCTGCTGCTCTTCTGGGTGGCTTTGCTGATCTGTTGCTGGGCAGACTTTCCATTTCTGGTTCCCCTTTTCTGATTATAAAACAGCAGGATTGGATACAAAGGTCTGACTTAGTGGATGAAAAGCCTCCAGGTTGATGAAAAATAGAAATCAAAGTTTTAAAAAGTCTCATGGAACTGACTTATTTAACCAATCAACTGTCCAGTTCAATGTTTATCAACTCCCAGAAAATCCAGAAGTCGATAATGACTTTCATCACCAATATTCAACTTAATGATCATGTGACAAAGTGCTAATTATTGGATAGTGACTTGGTTACATCATTGTGCTTTTTGTTTTAGGTTTAGGTTTAATGTTCTGTTGAGCCACTAAAGGTAGGAAGTGGGAGGGACCAACCAGGAAGTAGGAGGCAGGAAGTGGGAGGGACTAACCAG